CGGCCGCCCTCTCGTCCAACTGCCAGCCCACGATGATGCCACTTGATTCGTCCGGTTTTCGACAACGAATAATGAAAAAAAAAAAAAAAAAAAAAAAAAAAACTACCTCGTTCATAACACGTTGATATTGATCACTCGTATCGATTATTTAGAGAAAAATAATACACGGCGATAAAAAATATTGATCGATTTTATCGGAAGTGTTTTTCGCGTTATATTCTCTCGTTCGATCGAAAAGCTTTAAATTGGATCAACAATTAAGTCACGGCGAAACGTTTTCGGATTAAAATCCGCTTGTTTGGCGGAAAAAAGAAAGAAAGAAATCTTATGTAAAGGAAAAGTGGGGAGAGAGACAACGATAAAAGGATTCTTGGATTATTCCGTCATCTTCTTTTACTCGCGTCAATTCGATACGATGAAAATTGAAAATGCGAAAACCTTCTATGTATAATAATTGCGGAAATCGAATCGAAATGGAGAGCAAGGGCAGCGAGCGAACAAGCTTCTTCCGTTGCCGATTCCAGCGGCGGTAACGCGACGCTGGCGGAGTTTCTCGGCCGGGATTCGAGTTTCTCGACGGAATGGAAATCTAATTCCGCATCCCGGCTTTCGTTATAAGGAAGACAGCGAAAGCGCGTCGACGTGGCTTCTTCGAGGAATTAGAAACAAAGCGGCTCTCTCGATGGAACGGCCGGCTTTATCGATCTTTTTTTCTCCTTGGATCCGAGAGGAAGAGGAGGAGGAGGAGGAGGGGGGGGGGAAGGAGGATCTACGGCGATAAAAATGCCCTTTTCGAGGAGGAGCAAATTGAAATTTTTCACGCGTCAACAGCTTGGAATTTAACCCTTCGCGCTCGTATTGTTTGTATTCGAAAGAAGGTATTGCGATCGACTCGCAATTTTCTTCCTATCCAATGAAAACATTTTTCTTGGATTATATTACGAATATATTGTAAGAAAAAAAAAAATTTTTTTTTAAATAAATTTATTCATTTTATATACGCAAGAGACAAAAAAGGAAACATTGTGACACGAGTCCCTAGAATGTAAATACTAAATGCAAATGTACGTATTTATAACGATAAAATTTAAGATGGCGAAGGTGATCTTTTGGCAAATTGAGAAAAAATATTTTCGAAATCTTGGAAACATTTTTCATTATACCGTTCATTTCCCAGGAAATTATAATTGGAGAGTTGTTTGGCCGTGTAAAAATTTCGACCGATTAATAGAGAGAGAGAGAGAGAGAGAGAGAGAGAGAGAGAGAGAGAGAGAGAGAGAGAGAGAGAGAGAGAGAGAGAGAGAGAGAGAGAGAGAGAGAGAGAGAGAGAGAGAGAGAGAGAGAGAGAGAGAGAGAG